GCTGAGGGTGAGACAGGGAGAGCCAGACCTGCTGAGGTGCTACAGTGAAGAGTGAGATGATTTTAGGTGGCTGATGAGAGGGAGATTTGAATGTGATAAGTGAACACAGTTACATTTATGTAATCCTATAACAAGTAGAGCTGGGCAGTACGGCTTAAGAATAAAATACATTTTGTACACGCTTCCTTGGAAATTAGAAAAAAATAAGTGTTTAAACTTTGCATTCTGATGCATTTAGACTGCAATTTTGGCCACTGTTGTCATGTTGTGAGACAATAGTCCAACCCACGACATACAGAATCAGTCCACGAACCAGGGTGAGAGTTTCAAAAACAATCATTTATTAAAAAGGGAAACTAAAAGAGCAGCGAGGAAGTCAAGCGGAGTTCATCGGACAGGATTCCGGTGGGGTGATCTGGAGACAGAGGGTGTTTAGGTCCGGTACAAGATGACTGATAGATATTTGGTTGGAGGGGACTTACGGTCTTGAAGTGTGGATGACCCGAGAGGGGAGTGGGTCCGGTCCGAGGACTAGGAGCCTACTTGCGGCAGGGTTCCTGAACGCTTTAGGTGGAGGGAGTTGAGCATGGAGGTTGGTGTGATCCGGGCAGGTTTAGGTGGGCTGTCGGGAGTGGGGAGACCAGGGACGTACCGAGAGACTAGTGGGGTGACGAGTTCCAGGTTGCTGTCTGTCTGAGGTGGAAGTGGAGTGACGTCTGTAGAGAGGGTGAACAGGAGGTCAAACATACAAATCTACAGCTCAAAATACTCAAAAAGGCAGAAAAACTCAAAAGCTAGTGTCTCTGAATTGGCTGTTTGGCGATACCAAAATCGAGTTCATCATCCAGCGAAGTGAAGGCGTCTCTCAGGTGCCCCTGGCCGGCTGATGAGCAGATGACCTGCAGCTTCCCCACTTCCAGACACGCCCACCTGCAGAGGGAAAACTCAAAACCAATTAGTGAGTGGAAGGAGAAAACCCCAGACCGTGACAACTGTTTTTTCTTTTGGCCACCTGAAAAATAATGTAGTTCCAGCTGTTCTGAGTGAACTGTTATTTCTTTTTCATTCTGTCAGAAACAAACAGAATGTTCAGACCGCTGGTCAGCATTGTTGGCTGATGTAGTTTAAAATATTCTGATAAGAATCAGATCATTTCAGACAGAATATTCACAGCTTTAGTCTCGTATTAAATATGTTTACACATCTCTACCCATATGAATAAGATAATAAATCCTACATTCATATTATTAAATAAAAATAAAACAGTACTGACACATAAACAGCTTTTTTATCATGAAAATGTCCACGTTGGCCGGTAATCAAACCTGGATCTGGCTAATGGGGAGCCTAAGTCTCCTCCCCTTCTGGTTTGCTCATGAGTCCTCGATCAAAAAAATAAAAATAAAATAAATAAATAAATAAATAAATAAATAAGAATGTTAGTAAACAGGTCTACAAAAGTTATTTATTAAGTTAGTTGTTTCTGGGCTTTGCCTTACGCCCTGAGTCACATCTGTCAGGCTTTTCTAATCCTAGAGTTTCTCCGTCTATTTTCTATCAGAAGCTACAGGAGATATGTGTAGGAGACTATTTTCATGTTCAGCCTGCATGAAACACAGAGTGATCCATTAGAATCAGAATTAATCATTACATTTATTTTTTTCAGTGAGATTGGCCTACACTCACCTAAATGATTATAAGGAACACCAGTTCAACTTCTCCTTAATGCAATTATCTAATCAACCAATCACATGGCAGTTGCTTCAGTGCATGTAGGGGTGTGGTCCTGGTCAAGACAATCTCCTGAACTCCAAACTGAATGTCAGAATGGGAAAGAAAGGTGATTTCAGCAATTTTGAGCGTGGCATGGTTGTTGGTGCCAGACGGCCGGCCTGAGTATTCACAATCTGCTCAGTTACTGGGATTTTCACCCACAACCATTTCTAGGGTTTACAAAGAATGGTGTGAAAAGGGAAAAACATCCAGTGTGCGGCAGTCCTGTGGGCAAAAATGCCTTGTTGATGCTAGAGGTCAGAGGAGAATGGGCCGACTGTGACATGGTGCATTATCCTGCTGGAAGTAGCCATCAGAGGATGGGTACATGGTGGTCATGAAGGGATGGACATGGTCAGAAACGATGCTCAGGTAGCCCGTGGCATTTAAACCATGCCCAGTTGGCACTAAGGGGCCTAAAGTGTGCCAAGAAAACATCCCCCACACCATGACAACACCACCACCAGCCTGCACAGTGGTAACACAGCATGATGGATCCATGTTCTCATTCTGTTTACGCCAAATTCTGACTCTACCATTTGAATGTCTCATCAGAAATGGAGACTCGTCAGACCAGGCAACATTTTTCCAGTCATCAACTGTCCCATTTTGGTGAGCTTGTGCAAATTATCACCTCTTTTTCCTATTAGTAGTGGAGATGAGTTGTACCCGGTGGGGTCTTCTGCTGTTGTAGCCCATCCGCCTCAAGGTTGTGTGTGTTGTGGCTTCACAAATGCTTTGCTGCATTCCTCAGTTGTAATGAGTGGTTATTTCAGTCAAAGTTGCTCTTCTATCAGCTTCAATCAGTCTGTGGTGTTGTCATGGTGTGGGGGATGTTTTCTTGGCGCACTTTAGGCCCCTTAGTGCCAACTGGGCATGGTTTAAACACCACGGGCTACCTGAGCATCGTTTCTGGCCATGTCCATCCCTTCATGACCACCATGTACCCATCCTCTGATGGCTACTTCCAGCAGGATAATGCACCATGTCATAAAGCTCCAATAATTTCTAATTGTTTTCTTGAACATGACGATGAGTTCACTGTACTACAAGCCCCCCCCCCCCCCCCCCCCCGGTGGAATGAGAGCTTCGTGCCCTGGGTGTGCATCCCACACATCTCCATCAACTGCAAGATGCTATCCTGTCAATATGGCCGACATTTCTAAAGAATGCTTTCAGCACCTTGTTGAATCAACGACACGTAGAATTGAGGCTGATCTGAAGGCGACAGGGTGTCAAACACCGCATTAGTGTGGTGTTCCTGATAATCCTTTAGCTGAGTGTATATACTGACCTATTGTCCTATCATTGATTTGTTAGATTTCCAAAATGTGTCCCCCCCCCCCAATAATAAACTCGTTCCAACGCCCTTGCTTAAAAGTGTTATGAAGTAAACAGTTTCTGCTATTCTATGAATGTGTGACCAGAACAATGTAAGAATGACATTTAAAGGGATACTTTGCAACTTTTTCATATATTTAAATAATTTTCAGTGCTAACATGACCATTTAGAGCAGGGCTATTTGAGTTCGGGCCTCGAGGGCCGATGTCCAGCATGTTTTAGTGGTTTCTCTGGTCCAACACACTAGATTCAGTGTTACAATACAGTCTGCTTCCAGCATGTTTCCTGCCAGTTTTAGATCATGCACACAGCTGATTTGTTTAATTTAGTGATGAATCATTCCTGTAGACACTAATGAAGGCTGGGGAGACATTTCAGCTGTTAGATTAGGACAGGGCTATTCAATTCTGGGCCTCGAGGGCCGGTATCCAACACGTTTGGGTTTTAACCCTGGTTCAACACACCTGATTTCAATTATGTTTATGTTTATGTTTATGTATTTAGCAGACGCTTTTGTCCAAAGCGACTTACAAGTGATAATCGGCATGTTGCCTTTGAGGCTAACAACAACAATAACAACAACAACTTGACATCAGTCATGGAGAGGAGGGAACAAGGAGTGGACAGTAGAGAGGGGGGACGGGTGCAGGGAGGGTGCTAGTTAAGAAGATGCTCTCTGAAGAGCAGGGTCTTCAGGAGTGTCTTGAAAATTGAAAAGGAAGCCCCTGTTCTGGTAGTGCTTACCCCAGCTGTGTCCTCAATTAGTATGTGATTAACAGGCTTCTGCCAAGCCTGATGAGCTGCTGCAGGTGATTATACCACTGAATCTTGAGTGTTGGAGCAGAGAAACCACTAAAGCGTGCTGGATAGCAGTTCTCCAGGTCTGGAATTGAATTGCCCTGGATTAAGGTGTTAAACAGATGAACACACAGCGAGGAGATAGGTTTTGCTTTTGGTTCTATAAACGAACACTAAGGGGTGCAAAACGCAAGCCAAAACTGTCTAGTTCCCCTTTAAAAATATTCCATTTGGATTGTTCAGTTCAGCATCTTTCTGAGTTATTCAGAGTTTGAGTTACAGACATTGTAGGGTAAAAATTTGTATATATAATTTTTTTATCTTTAAAAGTGGTTAAAGCGTGTGTGCCAGCTGTTGGTAAGTTATGGGTATTGCATTTAACAAAATAAATCAATCTGAATCTGAAGGGTGGTCACACCGATTGAGACGGATTTACATTTCTCTTTTGTTCATTCACTGTTTTTTGTCGATAAAAACAAATGACCAACAGTTCCATTTTTGAAAGCATTCCTTGTTTACAGCATCATATCACACCTGCCCACAACCTTTGAGCAGTACAGGATGAAACTCCCTTTAACGGATTCTCAAAACATCCCACATAATTCCTGAAAAGGGGAGAAACTCTGCATTGCTGCTTTAATATCCCCCTACAAATACTAGTGATGGTGGACAAACCTGATGTCTTTGTATAATTTTATTAAAAAGTGATCAACTTACAAATGTCCACTTTCTCAGGGAACTGAGAAAGCATTACTGCTTGAATGTCACAAACCGTCTAGTACTACTAAACTACTGCTGCCGGTTCTCCAGTAACTCTGATTATAAGTGAAGTGAAAAAGCTTCATGTAAACACAGCAGGGACTCTGCTTTAGCATCCTTTATGTCAGCAGGTCAAAAGCTGGGCTGGAGGGGACATTCCTGGACGTGTATTTTGCTTGCAGGAGTTTTCAGTTGCATCACATATTGTGTAGGTTGTCTGACCAGGGCTTTGTCCTCATGTCCTCCTTTAGCTACCGCTGCTGTAACTACTTTACACTTTGATTTGTCACACAACAACTGACAGTGTTTACCCCGGCTGTGTCCTCAGGTGGCCCTCTCCTTACGCAGTCCTGACCTTTGTTTTGCTGCTGGCTGCTCCCGGCTGCCCTGCCTCCCCACAGAGTGTAAGTTTGACCGTTCCAACATCCACGCAAATCCCTGCACAGCCGCATCCAAAATAACTCCACCTGATCCTGTAGCCCATCAGCACAGCTCAGTTTTAAGTGACATCCAAGGAAAGCTTTTTAGAATGACCAAACAGTCAAACATAGAGTTTCCATGACTTTGTTAAAACAAAACCTGATTGCTTCATAGCTAACACGTTTTGTTTAACTTTCAGTATGTATTTTAGATTTAATGTCACACACTTCAAATGCTTCCTTTATTGTGGGCTCCAACTTTTTAAGACTCACTGATTCTGTAATATAAACGGATCTGAGTAGTTTCTGTGAAGTACAGCCCCTGGTCTCAGAGTAATATACAGCTCGTTCTCATTACACGCCAGTAACACTTAGGTGGCTGGGCTCTGGAGATGGTGTGGTTTTCTTCTGATTGAGCTGGAACTTGTGGCAGTTTTCTCACAGCATCGTCCTGGATTCTCCATTTTGCTTCTGTGGGATGAATGTCACTGAGCTGACTTAACTTTTCTGAAAACTGGCCATTGTCCTTAAAGGTGTGGAACACTGAAAAACCATTGTTAAATTATTATATCTGATTATAATGTATCATGAGTTTTTCATGCAGGCTGTACATAAAAATAGTCTCTTACACCTATCTCCTGCATTAGCTTCTGTCAGATCCACATCACATTGTCACTTAACATTCATGGACTCATTAGTGTTAGCAACTCCACCACACAGCAGAACTCCTTCAGGCAATGTCACAAAGAAAACAGAGTCAGAGTTGTGTTGCTGTTAGCCAATCAGAGGTAAGATGTCCAAATATAAGGAAATAAGACTCCAGGTAATAATTTATTTACAATTTTATCATCACCAAGGCGCACTGATGGTTTCTACAAATGACGCCACTTTACTTTTAAATCTTAATAGTCAAAACACCACTGAGCTGTTTCTCCAAGCCTCTTTTCATTGATTTACTGCCTGTGTTCTCATTTTCTTATAAGTAATAGAGTTAAATGACATTCCTTCATTATCTAGAGAATCACATTTTTTTTCATTGTGCTTGTTTTGTTGTATTAAATCAAATCAATTATCTTGTGTGGAAAGTTCCTCCATCAGCCTCAGATTTGACTCTAAAGACTGTTTCCCATCTGAGATTTTGAGATTTATTTATTTTATCCAGTCATAACAATGCATATAAGACACATGAAAAAGAAAATAATTTTCTAATAATGATCATAATAATCATTAACAAAAGTCCAACTTCCTTTTGTAAATAAGACAGTTTCTTTAGATATAATTTATGACCGAAATGGTACAGGCTGAAGTTAAACTTATTTAAGCCTACCCATTAACTCATTACAAGAAATCAACGGTGTCATAAATATCAACAGTTAATAACAATAGTTATTACATACATCATCTTGGATTCAACAAAATCAATCAAGAGGTATAAACGTGTGACAAACCTAATTTTGTTGTGCTTAGTAATTACTTAAAGAGTTATTTTTAAAACACTTTTTGAATATTTTCAAAGAGCACGATTTTTTAAACTGTCATCACTATGCTGTTTTCTATCTACCTTCTGCCTCTGGGCAATATCCTGAATCAGTATGGCCTGAGCTATCACATTTACGCTGATGACTGTCAACTATGTGTAGAAATGGATGAGAAGAAGGCGGGCTCGCGATTGGCTGCATGTTTAGATGACGTGAAGGGCTGGCTGGCATCCAACTTAAAGTTAAATGAAAAGAAGTCTGAGTATATTGTTTTTGACCCCCGCAACCACCATAGCTCTCACCCTGTTTGCGACCTTTTAACTCTCAACCCCAAACAGTGTGTGTCAAGTCTCGGTGTAAAGATGGATGCTGGACTCACAATGGCCCAGCAGATAAACTCCGTAGTGAGGTATTGCTTTTTTCAGCTTCGCCACCTGACTCGCCTCAGACAAATCCTAAAACGGAGGCATTTGGAGTCAGTCATCCATGCCTTCATTACCTCTCGCCTTGACTACGCAAACGCCCTCCTCGTTGGTGTTCCGGTCTCTGCCCTGAATTGGCTGCAGGTCGTCCAGAACGCTGCTGCCAGGTTCTTGACGAATACACACCGACGTAGCCATATTACCCCTGTCCTGGCACATCTTCACTGTCTCCCTGTCATTTTCAGAGTACAGTTTAAGCTATTGACTTTTGTATTTAAATCACTCAACGACCTGGCACCTCCCTATCTCTCTGACCTGCTCACTCCATAAGTACCCACGCGCACGTTGAGGTCGGCTGACCTTTTGCTGCTGTGCACGCCGCGGATGCGATACAAATCGCGGGGTGAACGAGCATTTGTGCATGCTACCCCAAAGCTGTGGAACTCGTTGCCTATTGGAGTTCGGCAGGCTCCATCTCCGGCGGTTTTTAAATCTCATTTAAAGACCCACTTTTACGATTTGGCTTTTAGACAGTGACTCGTTTTAGTGTTTAGTGTTGTGTCATTGTTTTAATGTGTTCTTAGAATTCATCATGTTTTATCTGCTTTTGATTGGGATTTTTATCTTCTGTTTAGTTACTTAGAATGGTCGCGTTTTGTTTTAGCCTGTGCAGCACTTTGGGCAGCTCCCTGTCACGATCCGCTCCTACCTCCCTCTGACTCCTGCCCCTGATTAGTTTTTATTGGTCTCACCTGCCCCTTGTTAACCTGCCCATGTGTTCCTGATTGTTTCCCTGTGTATTTATACCTCCCGTCTTGTATGTGTCAGTGTCGGATCATTGTTGTTGTTTTATTGTTCTCATCCTTCCCGCTGTATCATCCGCTATTAAATCCATTTTTATGTTATCCGTGCCTGCATTCCTGCCTCCTGGTCAGCTCCACCACACATGGTCCACCGCCACCCACACCTCAACGTGACACTCCCATGCTGCGTTTTAAACGTGCTATATAAATAAACTATGGTATGGTATCATCAAGGCTATTCCCTAAACTCACTCTCTTACTGAAATACGTCTTCTTTTTTTATTGGTTCTAGTTTTCTTTATTTTGAAAATCCCAGTTCTTCTTAGACAATATCCTCCATCCCTGTGTTCAAACGTCTTGTGGAGATAAGGTGGAAGATTAGCATGATATGCCTGATATACAATGGCCAGAGTATGCAGGCCAACAATATCGTGAAATTTTAGAATTTTTAAATGGATAAAGATAGTGTTTGTTGGTGCATTATAGTTAGCATGACAAGAGGCATGATGGGAGATTCTAAAATCTCATCCTTCCAACTTTCCCTTCTTCAGTGTGACATAAATTTTTATTTCTGAGTTGAAATGAGGGGATGAGCTGAACTGTTAAGGTCAAGGGTTGCGTTCATTATTCTAGAAGCCAGCTCACCCCATCTCCCACTGTTATCAACGCTAATGTGACCAGCTGAACACTAATGAGGGCGACGTCAGGTGACCCTGAAAAGAACAAACGATGGAAAGTCATAGCCCAGGTTCATCTCAGCTCAGTGTGTGTTCAGCACGAGTCACAAAGTCAAAGAGAGTCAGTTTGGTTTTTCCTCCTGGCAAAAAAGTTAGATTAGTTCAAAGAAAAACTTGTAATAACATTTGATTATAAAACGTATTGTAAAAAGGCAGCCGTGTACGCGTTAGTGTGGAGGAGCTTTCATGAAGCATAGCGTCTCATTATTCAAATAAAACACGTCTGTTGGTTCCGGGCCAATCAGGGGCTAGAGTGACCTGGGCGGGAGTGTCATTTTTAAAGCTTGCTTACTCACAAAACAAGGGCAGAAAACTGCATAAGTGACTTTCCATGCAAACTTTGTGATTTATAAAGAAACACTTGACAGAAGAACTTTAATCAGACTTTGAACCCGGCGTAAATTGTTTGTTTCTTGCTGAGCTTAAGTCATGTTTTGGTAAGGATTCAACTCAAAGTTTTGTAAATATGGCCCCTGTTCATGAGAATAAATGAACATTTTAATACTTTCACTCGTGTAAACTTTTATTTTTGGCACATTTTGGTTCAATTGACGCAGTAAATATCACATTTTAAAGTGTTAATAATGAAAATATAGATAATATAATTTATAAATGTAATTACAATGCAAGCTATTATTTTTCTCAACAGTGTGTTGGGTCAGAGCGTGTTTTAATGCTGCTAGTTAAGATTTCATTTATTTTAAATACATTGAAAATAACTATCTTGATGGTTGAAGCTACACGTCTGAACAAACGCCTGAGAGAATTAATCAATGGTGAGATTAGACCCGGTGATTTTATTCTGATGTATTAAATCAATTATAAAACCCAGAAAAACTTTGTTAAACACCAAAGAATCATTTTGAACACTTTTGTAGTTTTGTTTCCTCAAAATATGCATTTTAACTATTTCTTACAGACACAAATCATTTACTTTATTTATTTATTTGTTGCAATATCATCAGTTAGTAATATGTTTATGTCTTGTTTATTATTTCATCAAATTTTCACCAACACGTGTGTGTGTGTGTGTGTGTGTGTGTGTGTGTGTGTGTGTGTGTGTGTGTGTGTGTGTGTGTGTGTGTGTCCTAACATTTCTCTCGGTGTGGGTTCCCATGGGTGGGAGCACACCCACCTAAGGAGGTCCAAAATCCAAGTGGGGCCCAAAATGGTGGACCCCACTCCGATTTCAATTAAAATGAGCTCAGCAGCCTCCCCTGATGCTACCATTGCTTTTTTTTTCATGTCAAAAAATTGTCCCCTAAGGTAGCAAAAAGTGGGCAAGTGTGTAAAGGTGTGTATCCTGCAGCCGACCGTAACCGGAAGTCAGGATATACACTTCCCGCAAAATCTTATACACACCGCGGGAGTCTGAAACCTTTGGCCAATGACATTGCTGCACTGAGGAAAACTACCGGAAGTTCACAACAAGAAGAAAACTACACGGATTGAAGACAAAAAGACGACGGAGTGATTGGATTATTTTGAATATTTTTACATTTACCGACCTCTGCATGCAGCAGGTAAGCTAGGCATGGTTCAGAAGAGTTTATATTTTGGCGTTCTGTTGGGATGTATTTAAGCTGGCTGCCATGTGGCTAACTTTAGCAACATAATATTATAAATAGTTCGTTGTTTACTCACCCAGACAAGTTTGGAGTTATTTGGAGCCGCTCAGAAGGAGTTTTTTTATCGAGTCGCCATCAGCTTATATCCATATAATGCCAATGGGAGCAAAACTGCAGGAGTTGTTGCTGCATTATCTGCCCTCAAACTCCTTCATTTAACCAAGTGTTCTTATTAAACGTTAACACTACTCCCATCGGAGTTCAGAAAATCTCGTAAGTGTTTATTTGTTCGGTTTGGGGTGATTTCAAGGCAAAAATACAACAATATTGTGCGATTAAAACAGCGTCACGGCCAGTCGCCATCTTGGTTGTAGTCCGGCCAGCACTTTAACTCTGTGCTCTGCAACGGTCGGTTTGACAGAACTTGCTGCTGTTGACATCAGTGTAGTTCGGGTTTGCGTGTTTCCAAATTGCAATAATCGAATGACCAATTGGACTAAATTCAGCTTCTACAGACTCTTTCAGCAACCTACGCGGACTACAGCCGTAATGGCGGAGGGCTGCAACGTTATTGAAATCTCAGTTGGAATCGGTTGCATTAAAAGCCTGTAAAACTCCAGAAGCTAATATGTTAGCACCTTTGAGACGTGCTGAACTCACAGAGGAATTTTTTTAAACTATTCTCAACAAAACATTGTTAAATGAAGGAGTTTTGGGGCAGATAATCTTATAATATCCTGCCCTGATAGGCTCCCATTATATGGATATACAGTGATAGCAACCTGATTAAAACTCCTCCTGAACTACGCCAAGTAGGTCCACACTTGTCTGGGTGAGTAAATTAACGTAATATTTGTTAAAAAAGTTAGCCTGGCCAGCCAGACTCGCTCTGTGCAGAATTTAACAGAGTGAGTCTGGCTGGCCAGGCTAAAAAAAAAATAAGGTCCAGGTTGAAAATGCTGCATGTGTCAGTGATGTTGTTGTACCAGAAGTTTGACAGCCCTAGTTTAGATTAGTGACTGAGTGTCTTTGCAGCACAGCTTGGTTATTATATAACAAACTAACTTCTTGGCTTCAACAGGCTCGGTCAGCTCTCAGTGTACACATTTCAGAATTTGTATATTTCATTATCCTGTGTTTGATGTTAAACAATGTGCATCATGCAATAGCAAAGCTCAATGCACAGCTGCTGTATGTGTGTTTGTATGAATGTTCTAGATTTTATTTTTCTCTTGCTATTTTTCAAAAACCTTTCTGTGAGATTTGCCTTGACTAAGTACTAATTACGATTATTTTCACAGAGCCATTATGTCCACAAGAAAGAGGAGGAAAAAGCCTATAGATGATGCAAAGACACACATCCTGTCCTGTACTGACAAGGTTGGGTTTATGTCGAGATACATTGACGGTTACAAAGGTAATTTGCGAAAATTTCTTGACACAACTTGTGTTTTTCAAAAGCAAAGCAGTTGACAAGTTGACAAGTAATTAAAATTGCGCCCACATTTTCAAAGTTAAACACATTTCTTTTAACAACGGTAGTTTTTTCATCTTTACTGCAAACTCACTGATGCGCCTGCAGCCTCTCAGAGTTCATGCTGCTCTAAACATTGAAAGAATGATTTAATTTTCTGTTGCTGACTTCTGATTACCTTAAATGGTGTCTGTTTGTTGCTACCAGCAGGTACAAAAAGGAACTTATTTTTATTTGACTATTTTTCTGTCCTGTCTGTTTATCATCTTCCTTCATCTCATCTCAATCCTAAAGAAAAACTGCTATCTGGCTTCATATATATTCACCTTATGAGTTACCTTTGAACTGCAGTTCTAAAAGATCTACCGACCGCAAATATAGAGGAGTGTGTGCTACGCACAGACCGCATCAGTGAGGTGAAGTCACAGCAGAATGAAACAGGTGATGCGCTCTGCTCCACAGCAGCAAAATGCATCAGGCACAAATAAAAGACAGAAAGCATGAAGGGATATGAGCCGACATGAACGATTACGTGTTAAATTTGTTTTTGAGATGGCGACACTTTGAGAATGTAGCTGTGGCTGTGCTCAGGATGCATCTGTCTGGAGCGCATCAACGATCAGAGCTCTGCGCCTCTCAGCTCTAAATAATCTTGGAGAGTTCACATAGATAATGTAATATAAGTGGAACCATTGATTTTTCGAAAAAAATGGTAAACTATTGTGTGGAGGATCTACAGACTCCAGTAGTCTGTAGATGAACAGCACCTTCTTCCTTTTCTGGTGCATTTTGTGCAGCTGAAAACACGGTCGTTTCTGCTCCACACCAGACCAGAGGATTACAATCCCAGTGATGTGACGGGAGTTCAACATGCCTCCTATCCTCCAGAGCCACTTGGTGGAGTTTTGAAAAATATTTGATGGCTCCTACCCAGATCAGCATTGGAGCTCTAGAAGAGGATAGAGCTTTCAAAAATTCCTAGTGAGGCGGGGATGCTGGTTTCTAGGTCGGAACTGGCTAGGAACTTGTGCTCCTAACCTCAAGAAGAGGATGCAAAGCTTTTAAAAGATGCTAGCGGGCTAGGGAAGCTGGTTTCTGGGTTGTGCTCTGGATAAGATGACATGCGTCTCTCCCTCTCTCTAAAGCGCTAAGCTACATTACGTGAATGGATATTAACAAGTATTAAACAGCTGACAAATGCTCATTGCCAAGAATCAATATTATATTAACTTACCAATAATATTTTAATTGTCTACACCAGGGATTCCCAAAGTGTGGTGCCGCTAGGGGGTGCGCGAGGTGAAAAGTGTAATGGCTGCGGAGCTCAGAGAAGTCTGTCAAAAGTCACCATTAGCGTAGCCAGAAACTCATTTGTGGGTGGGCCTAAGAAAATGTAAGTGGGCCCAATGAACGTAATTGAAAACAAGTATATTTTGCTTGTGTGTGTGTGTGTGTGTGTGTGTGTGTGTGTCCTCCGCACATGCCCTAGCTCAGGGGTCGGCAATCCGCGGCTCTGGAGCCGCATGCGGCTCTTCCATGCGGCTCTCTGTGCTTGTAAAATAATGAATGGATATTTAAATAAAATGCTTTGTATTTTACTGAATTAATTTTACATCTGTAAGCTAATTCTAAATGTAGATTGTCTGCGTAAACCTGAACAGGTCCAACCCGGTCTTACTGTGAGACCGGGTTGACGCGTCACGCATGTGCGTAAACATAGGCGCTTTCTGAGCTGAAGACGATGTGAGATTCTGGGACTCTCCTCAGTCGCCACATTGGAGACAGGAACAAGCACAATTCAGCCAAAGTTTCATCATCAGGGAACATTTTCTAAGTGACAAGTCTCTCTGAGAGACCGGGTTTTGAAAACTCTCGCTTCAGTGGAAGGAATCTTCCCGCATGCGCTCTGGTTCTGCAACGTGTTGCAAGCCCCTTTCCACATCTTCAGCTCGCTGTGCACCTTATGTACGCGCTAACTGAGCGGTGTCCAGCTCAGATGTTCAGAAGGAAATCTTTTCTTGAGTGATTTAGCTACATCTGCGATTTGCGTAGAATAAAGTGTCAGTTCGTCTACATGCGTCGGGGTAATTCTTTCTATTCTTTCTCCATCAAAAATAAACGGTCAAATACGGGAACTGTCCGGTTAACACAACACAAGCCCTGCTTTTAACTGTTCTGTTTTCTTGTGAAAATTGTTACAAATTTAACGTGATTAACACCAGAGCCAGGCGCACTGCGCCGTTGTCTCGGTCACTGTAAATGAGGGAGAAACAAAATGATCGGATCCTTTTCTGACCTTCCCCACCTACAAAGTTTAATTACAACAATCAAACGTGACAGAGCCTGGATTTGTATTCTGAACAGTCTAAACATGTTTTAAAAAGAAACGTATGACAAAAGTGGCACTTGCTCAGTAAAACCACCCACAGGGTGAAAAATATCTAAATATTGTCGGCAGAGACGGGCTACAACTTCTGGATCCACTTTATATAAATTGTTTTATTGATTACCTTCTTATGAAAGATAACTTTGACGTACACGAGCGACCGGTACTGGCTGCTGTCACCTGTTGTTAGCAGCGCTCTGCTGTCTGAGGGTAGGCCCCGCCCACAACGCCGCAGCTGCTGCAGTGTTTTCTTTACTGTGGGAAACGGGTAATAATGGCTCTTTGATGGGAACAGGTTGCCGACCCCTGGTTTAGCGTGACGTCTGATATGTGTGTGTATATATATATATATATATATATATATATATATATATATATATATATATATATATATATATATATATATATATATATATATATATAGCCATGCCCTGATGTGGGGCTGGGGGGTGTGTCAACATGGTCGGGACATAGAAGGGGGTGCGCGGCTAAATAAGTTTGGGAACCACTGCTCTACATGACAGTAACATTTTTTAGCGCACGAGTTGTAGCAAGCTAGCTAGCATCGTTCACTCACAGAGACACCTGCTCCTCCACAGAACCTCCTGACACCACAGATAAATCTCTCTGCTTTGGCTGATGATTTCTCCCTCTGGTTTGTCTCTAAGCTGCAGTTTGCTCTTTAAGGCAAATTTCATCTGTACTGATCCAAAAATGACAAGGAAAGGGTGAAGTTAGTAGGGATTGCATTATTAAACATTAAAAGTAGATGTCATCATTCACATGAATGAATTTCAGTTCTTTTCTTGTTTCTCTTGGCCTGTTAGGACTTATGTGTCATTTACTGAGCTCCTAAGGTATTTAAAAAGCATTTATTTAGATTTTTAAAAAAGATGCAGGAACCTTGAAATAGCACTTTCTTCTCTATTTCTTCCTCTGCATACATTTTTTCCTCACAATCTCTGGGTGTCAAATCTCAATTATTACAAACTTGTAAATCATAATGTCATTGCACTTGTGAAAATAGATTTAAATGCATTTTTAGTTTACTGCAACTTAAAGCTCATTTGCACTATACATTATTGAACTAGTCAATCTATTTGTTGTATATACATTTGTTATATTGCTTTTCTGTCTCATATATTGCAAATAGGAATACTTTTTTGTATTGCTATTTAATATATAGTTCCATGCCTTGCTGTGGCCCCACTGTAATTTTCCAGTCTGGGATCCATCTACATCTGTTTGTCGGTTTATGTCAAGTCTGAGTTGCATGGGTTAGGGTGCATCTGTGTTGTTACACTTCACTGGTGTGTTACGTGGACCAAATGGTACACAGCACTCTCAGATTAAGGGAAAGTAACAGAGCATAGACAGGACCTCAGTGATACATTCATATGGATGGGTTGGCATCAAAAACATGTTTTGGCCACAGAAAGCCTGATCAAAAATCTGTTTACCTGCAAGGAGAATGTTGAGCATTGTCTGCAGGTTATATACCGACTAGACGCAAGAACCTCAGCCTCACTTTAAAATACTGTAGTATCTCTTTTGAGTCCCAGAATGAAATGTTTAATTATTATATATTTTATAGGAAGAGGAGTGTTTGCCACACCCCCCAATGAACCAGGGGACTTCGTCTTGGAGTACAGGGGTAAACTCCTCACAAAGGAAGAATGCGAGTCAAGACGATACTCAGAGACTGAAAGCAAATTTCTCTTTGGCTTTAAGTGGCAGAACCATTGCTTATGGTAAACATGGAAAAATGGATGATTTTTATTGATTAGAGAAATTCCGAGTTATCCCTGGAACAAGGGTTTAATACTTGATAAACTAATTAAAGCACAAATATTAAAATCTTTTGAAAACAATTATTTCAGTAAAACTGTTAAAAAATGTAAAACTATTACAATTTTTTTTAATACTTTTCAGCCTGGATGCATCTGAAGAAGATGGCTCTCTCGGAAGATTGGTCAATGACAACCACAAAAATCCTAATTGCGTTATGAAAAAAATCATAGTTGACAACAAACCACATTTGTGCCTTTTTTCTCTGAAGAAAATAGAAATAGGAGCTGAAATTTATTACAACTATGGTGATTCAAAATGGCCTTGGCGCAGTAAGGTGAGTTGGTTGCTATTTCTCCAATATTAACCATGCTTCCAATATTACTCTTGGTTGTCTATGGAAATGCATTTCATCTTTGATCTGTGATATGTTTTATTCATCTACAATCCAGGTGGGAAAAAACAAGGCTCCTGCAGCAGCAAAAGAGAACCTATTGGGTGGGGAAGGCCAGGTAATGCCACACACACCGTCATGTTTCCAGTCATGTTCTTATGGGGTCCTTCCATCTTCCAAACACATTTCTATCTGGAGTCTCTCCTTTACACACTCGTATGTGTCTAGTCTGACCCAAGTGGGGCCCTTCCGTCCAGTTCTTCTTGTAGATGTTTTTAGTGCACTATGGTAACACCAGACATGACCTCAGCTGTGATTTTAACATTCATAATTGTATACCGTCTGAGCTTTTACATGTTTTAAACTAATTTTTTGATTCATCCACTGTGAACTCCTGGAATCGTCATGAGAGCTGCTCATTACCAGTAGTCCAGAAGGCCACGCCATGTTCTCAGTTGTCGTTCTGTGCTGCTGTTTCACAGTTAGATGATCTTTTTTGCCTTTGGAAGTCTCTTCATATAGTTCTGAGTCTTTTGTCTGTTATCTATATTTCAGATGAAAGGCCTTCAGACTCCTGCTGCAGCAGAAGAGAATGAGGCCAGCCCTGTTCCTCAGATGCTTAATGATGGACCAATCCCAGATGAGACCTACACACAGGTAAGAGTACATTCAAACACCTTCTTCTGTGCTGACATGTATGTGGTGTTGTTCTACTACTAAACTGGACCAATGCTCATGTGGCTGTATGGTAGTCAGGTGAACCTATTGGGTGGGGAAGGCCAGGTAATGCCACACACACCGTCATGTTTCCAGTCATGTTCTTATGGGGTCCTTCCATCTTCCAAACACATTTCTATCTGGAGTCTCTCCTTTACACACTCGTATGTGTCTAGTCTGACCCAAGTGGGGCCCTTCCGTCCAGTTCTTCTTGTAGATGTTTTTAGTGCACTATGGTAACACCAGACATGACCTCAGCTGTGATTTTAACATTCATAATTGTATACCGTCTGAGCTTTTACATGTTTTAAATCAATATTTTGATTCATCCACTGTGAACTCCTGGAATCGTCATGAGAGCTGCTCATTACCAGTAGTCCAGAAGGCCCAGCCATGTTCTCAGTTGTCGTTCTGTGCTGCTGTTTCACAGTTAGATGATCTTTTTTGCCTTTGGAAGTCTCTTCATATAGTTCTGAGTCTTGTCTGTTATCTATATTTCAGATGAAAGGCCTTCAGACTCCTGCTGCAGCAGAAGAGAATGAGGCCAGCCCTGTTCCTCAGATGCTTAATGATGGACCAATCCCAGATGAGACCTACACACAGGTAAGAGTACATTCAAACACCTTCTTCTGTGCTGACATGTATGTGGTGTTGTTCTACTACTAAACTGGACCAATGCTCATGTGGCTGTATGGTAGTCAGGTGAACCTATTGGGTGGGGAAGGCCAGGTAATGCCACACACACCGTCATGTTTCCAGTCATGTTCTTATGGGGTCCTTCCATCTTCCAAACACATTTCTATCTGGAGTCTCTCCTTTACACACTTGTATGTCTCTAGTCTGACCCAAGTGGGGCCCTTCCGTCCAGTTCTTCTTGTAGATGTTTTTAGTGCACTATGGTAACACCAGACATGACCTCAGCTGTGATTTTAACATTCATAATTGTATACCGTCTGAGCTGTTACATTTTTAAACCAATATTTTGATTCATCCACTGTGAATACCGCATCCAGTTTAAGGTCTTAACTATTGTTTACAATGCCCTAAATGGTCCAGCTCCCGCTTCCCTGTCAGAACTGCTCAAGCCATATGTACCATCCAGAAGCCTAAGATCGGCAGATCACCTGCTCTTTTGCACCCAAAGATGAAATATAAATCCAGTGGGGAGCGGGCCTACGTGTTTGCTGCCCTCAAACTTTGGAATGCTCTTCACCTCAGTGTTCGACAGGCCCCGTCACTGTGTCGGTTCAAGTCAGTGCTGAAGGCCTATTTTTATCATTAACTTTGATCAATGATCAGGCTGTTAGTGTTTTAGTCTGTGGTGTCTTCCCTGTTGACATGTGCTTACCTTTTAGTATGTTTTTTTTAAATATTTTTAGTCATGACCTTGTTTTTACTCGTTATTTTTTTAAATTTTTTAATTCTTTTAATTTATTATCCCTTTTATCCTTTATAATTTTTTTCAATCTTCTTTGTTATTTCGTGGTTCTTTTTCTAACTTCGTTCGGTGTTTCACTACGGGGAATCGCCCTGGCGTGACCAACTACGGAAGCTCCATTGACATCACGTCTGTCCCTGACAGACTGGTAGCGCCGTGCCCAGGCTCCGCCCACCCAGTATATACACGGCCAACCAACCCCTCCTACTCATTCTCGCTTTCTCGCTTTCTTCCCGTGAGAAACTACACTTTGCTCCCTCAGCGATTTTCAGGCTATCTTTGGTCAGCTGCTTAACTGTTCCCAGGCGTACCATCAGGATCCGTCGCCGAACGCAGTCCCAATGCAGTCTGGATTAGAGCTGAGTAAGTGTTTCTAAGTCACTTGGCACACTTTGCTAGGAACCATTACCGCGTCACGGCGAACTGCTCCCGCGGCTACTCGGTTGTCATTGACGGAGTAGTATTAGCGAGTGTGGCTCAAGCTAACGCGTTGTTGCGAGCTTGTCCTGTTCTTATTTAGCATTTACTCGCTAATGAGCTATTTTGTTGCAGCTAACGTGTCACGACGAGTTGTCCTACATATAAAATATAGCTATAGTTGCAGACTTACACCTGCTAACTAGCTTGCTAACGCTTTTTCAGGCTAATCTGTCACGACCAGTCGGTTTTTCAGCTATGGCTTCCACCCCTACCCAGACGGAAGGGTCGGAACCAAAGGCTAAAGAGGCTGCATCCCGCCTGTGCCCGGCGTCATGTGGGGCTTCTATTTCAGGCAGGGACCCTCATCCTATTGTCATAGTGTGCATGGGTGCTGCTCACGCCCAGGCATCGCTGGCTAACCCGCAGACATGCCCTCACTGCTCCTCCATGCCAGAGAAAAAGGAGGCTTAGAGTGGCAGTGGCTAACGGCCGGAACCCAGGCCTCGGCTTGGCCACACCTGTGATGCAGGTGACAACCATCAGCCGCGAGCCTCCACAAGTTGGGCAGATATGATGGAGGAGGAGCCCCCGCTACCACTTCTGTTCGAGGGACTGGTTGACAGTGGGCTGCTCGATGCGGGTGATGACCTCCTCTATTTGGACATGGACGAGGAGGAAGAGGATTCCACCTTCCCGGCTCAACACTCTAGGCCACCTAGCGGCACTGGGGTGGCATCACAGGGGGACACCGACGTGTACGAGGTTTGCAGGCGAGCAGCTGCAAAGCTCAACATTCAGTGGCCGGCAGCCCAAGGGACAGAAGGGGTGGAACGAGACCTGTATGAGGCCGGGGACACACTGGCCGCGGAAGCGCCGCGAAGCGCCGCGAAAATGGGACCGCCTTCATTCGGCGCCCTTGTTAAGCTATTCTATAGACCACATGGGCCGCCGAAGCGTCGCGAATCGCCTCGCGCCGGCGCGCGCCGGCGCTCCAGCCCGCGCCGTGCAGCGATCATTTCGGCGTTGGCTCTATTTTTTTCGCGAGCCGCGGGTGAATCGCGTCAATTCTGGCAGGAAGTCAAACGTAGACATAAGAGGCAGGCCGGTAAAGTTAACAAAATAAAGCATTTCAAAATAAAATTCCGCAATAGTCAAATGTGTTCGTAAACAGACACTGCAGAGAAACCACACGAACACGCACACACATACACACACATCGAACTTGTGTGCGTGTGTGACCACGTGAAGGGGGGAGTGGTTTTGGGTGTCTTTTCACCGGAGCAAACAGGACAGAGAGGCAGAAAGTCTGAGGCAAGCAGTTAAGATGGATGACTTTAAATTAATTATGGAAGTTGAGAAACACAAGGAGCTGTACGACCCCCGAAAAACATGATTGTTTACGTACCCATGTCGGAAGAAACTGCTAGGATACAGCTGCAGAATTGGAGCGGGTTCCAAGAGATTCAACTGGCAGAAACAACTCATACCATAGGTTCACACACACACACGCGCGCGCACGCACGCGCACAAACACTCAAACGTAGGAAAAGAGCTGAGAAAAGGCAGAGAGGAAATGGAGGACACCAAGTGTTTAAAAGAAAAACTACAGCTGAGCCGAGGCGCGCCTCGACTGGGGCGCGTCTGATCTGAACTGAGGAGCGGCGAGCAGCGGCCGAATTTCGTGAGCGATTCGCTTCTCGGCGCTTCGCGGCGCTTCCGCGGCCGGTGTGTCCCCGGCGTGAGGCTTCCACTGTCCTCCGCTCCACCCAAGTGTTACTGGTCTAGCTCATTTAAAAGCAAACTCCCCACCAAGGGATACTCCAAACTGGAGGTGCATGGGATGGGGGAATTGGGGCTGGCCGAACCCCCAACTGTGGAGCCTTCAGTGGCATACCACCTTCACCCCAACCGCAGATCCGTGTCAGCGTCATCCAGCATCTCTCTCCCATCTAAAACGGATCGTCTCACGGCATCCATTTTTCAGAGGATGCACACATATGCTGGCCAATCTGTGTGTTCCCTCAATGCAGTTACTCTAATGTCAGCTTATCAAGGAGAAATCCTGGAGGAAATGGGTCGTCAGCTGGACTCTTGGGCGCCTAACCCGGCTTTATGGGATGAAATCTGTGTGGTGAATGATCTCATCCTGCACTCTTCTAGAGGAGCAGTCCAGGGCTGTGGACGTGCGATGGGTTTGGCTGTTTCAGGTGAGAGAGCCTTGTGGCTAAACTTGTCAGGCCTAGGTGACAGCCAGAAAGCTGATGTCATGGATGCAGCATTTGACCCTGTCAAAGGTCTCTTTGGCCCGCCCTGGAGAAGATGACTGAGACAAGCACCCACAGGAAGCAGGAAGGTGAGGCCCTCAATCTCTGCTTGCCTCGTAAACATAACCCTCAGCCACCTCAGGCACCCAAGCCTGGGTTTGCAGCAGCTGCCCCAGCGGCAAAGGGTCAACAGGGTGGGGCTAGACCACAGCGATCGGCAGGTGGTCAGCCAAACAAGGCGGAGAACCCTCGCCCATGGGGGAAGCACTCTTTCGCAGCAGCAGCCGCGAGGAACCGCCCGTCTCACCCCAGCGAGGGCAAGAGGAAGAAGTCATTCTAGCTGCTCTTGCTTCTCCTCTCCAGAAGAAGAGGAGGTTTTCAGAGGTACAAACAGACCTCTGTGTTCAGGGTTCAGACACTCCTGTGGTTCCCGGTCCAGCAGGAGTGGCGAGTGTGTGGAGCAGAAAACGCAGTGTCACCAAACACTTTTCATGAGCATGCAGTTAGTGTCACCAAGCACTTTGTTCCCAGATGTGTGCAGAAATGTTCAGGGGGGTCATTTAAAAATAAAGACGGCTTTTCTGCAGCCAGGCGTTCAGTCAAGGGCAGACAGCTCCCCACAAAAAATAATAAACAAACCCCATCAGGTCCCTCTGCGCCCAGCAGAGGGCCCTCTCACTCTTCCCACGGGACGAGTCGAGGCTGCTCAGGTGACGGAGATGACGTCACCCAACAGCGGCTTGCTTTCGGCGCGGGCCAAGAGGTGGCGCGCATGCGCAGTTCCCTCGTGGGTTCTGATGACAGTTTGTTGGGGTTCCAGGCTTCAGTTTGCCTCAAAACCTCCCTGTTTCAATGGGATAATAACGTCAGTGGCAAGAGAGGATTCGGCGCATATCCTGGAAAACGAAATTGCTTCACTGTTGAACAAAAAAAGCGATCAGGATGGTGCCGAGCGACGAGGCCCACCAGGGTTTTTATTCGCTCTACTTCCTTGTTCCACAGAAGGACGGGAAATCTCTCCGTCCCATACTCGACCTGCATGTGTTAAACAAACACTTACGCAAGTACACTTTCAGAATGTTGACTCACAAAACACTCTGCCGTTCCATCTGCCCAGGAGATTGGTTTGTCACGATTGACCTCGCAGATGCCTAGTTTCACATCTCTATTTATCCTCTACACAGGAAGTTTCTCAGGTTTGCCTATCGGGGCACAGCCTACGAGTTTCAAACCATCCCGTTCGGGCTGTCATTAGCATCGAGGGTTTTCACCAAGTGTGTGGAGGCAGCGCTGTCCTCACTGAGGACTCGCGAGATCAGAATTTTCTCTCACATAGACGATAATCTGATTTGCGCTCCCTCCCGGGAGCAAGCAGCCAGCGACGCGCTGGTGGTGTTGAGCCATCTGACCGACCTGGGATTGAAAATAAACTGGACAAAGAGCAGTTTATTCCCCAGACAATGCACAGAATATCTGGGTCT